CCCCTTTCCTACCTTCTCTATCGCGCCTGTACAGCCTATATGAAGGAGTTATATGCTGGAGTCTTGCTCAGTTTTGGTTGGCTTATTTAGAAAGGGTCAGTTTGAATCCTGCTTTGAACTTGGGACTCATATCTAAGTACGGCTGTAGTGCATGCACTGTCACTGTCCATTTGGCAGAAAAGTAGAATGCTTTAGGCCCATGACTTCATTCAGAACTTCACCGAGAACTGAATTCACTGAAAATGTGATAGCAAAATATAAATTAAAGCATTTTTATGGATGTTCTCAAATGTTCTTCTCTGAAAAACTTGGTAAGGGTAAGTAAATGTATACTTGCCTGAAACACAAAGATATTTTAATAGAAGAATCTTAGGGTGAAGTTGCACATTACGTTTAGACCATGTAAAGGGCACTTAAAACACAAGGGTCTACGCATTAAATCTCATTAACTTGTGCTAAGTGCCCTCTAACCATCTCAAAATTGTGCCACTTCAAGCAAGGGTTAACTTTGGGCTGTGCTACCAAGCTCATATTAAGGTAACTGCAGTCTGCTCCACAGAGATAAAAGGAGCAATTGGCAGTCCTGTACTGCTCTCAGGCTCACCTTCCCCAGAGCTGGGAAATAGCCCAGGTGTCCCAGCTCCTAGTCATGCCCCTGCTCACCAGCCCTCCAGTGGGAAGTCAGAGCTGAAGAAATGGTATTAACCCTTAATGTGTGACTGCTCACAGCATATTTTAACTTTAATGACACTTAACTTGCCACAGATTTCATATGTTCTAAGTCGGGGTGTCATATATGTGGCCCACAAGCCAGATCAATTCAGCCCATAAGTTTGATGGGGAGGGGGACCTTGCTGTGGCTGTAGTCAAGCACCCCAGCAAGAGCTGAAGCTGCTGCAGTCCACCAGGTCAGCCTGCCTAGTGGGTACAGCCAAGCATGAAATGGGGGTTGCAGGGGTAAGGGCCAGAAGTCAGGAGCCAAAAGGCCAAGCCAGGGTCCAAATCTCTTCAGCTTCCATAAGAGAAGGATGAGAGGTGATCTTGCGGCTACAATCTCACTGGGGGGAGGGAGGTCAGCAAGGAATAGGGCAAGGGTGGGCAGCAGCATGCAGCCCACAGGCCAGATGTGGCCCACCAGGCCATTCTTTCCAGCCCATGGGGCTCCTAAATAATTTAGAAAATTAATATTTATCTGTCCCTGGCTGCCTGTCATGCGGCCCTCGATGGCTTGCCGAGACTCATTAAGTGGCCCTCCACCCAAAATAATTGCCCACCCCTGGAATACAGGATACTCTGTTTACCAAGGCACCCCTGGGGTTACTAGAAACAATGGCCATAAACTGAAGGAGAGCAGATTTAGATTGGACATCAGGAAAAAAAATTTTACAGTGAGGGTTGCCAAAATATGGAATGGGCTTCCAAGGGAAGTGGTGCTTTCCCCTACCTTGGAGGCATTTAAAAGGAGATTAGACAAGCACCTGGCTGGGGTTACTTGACCCCAGTGCTCTTTCCTGCCCAGAGCAGGGGGTCAGACTCAGTAATCTAATATGTCCCTTCTGACCCCATAAATCTATGAATCTACAACGTGGGAATCAGAAACCCAGTTACCAAGTCTGAAGGATAATCCACAGGGCAAAGTCCAAGAGTCCAAAGCCAAGCCAGGCTTAGGAAACAGATTCACAGAAGTTTAGGGCTGGAAGGAGACCTCATGAGATCACTGGGTCCAGCCCCCCTGCTCTGGGCATCAAAGACTGCTGGGGTCAAATAACCCCAGCACAATGTGCATCTAGTTTCCTTTTGAAGATCTCCAGGGTAGATGCCTGCACCACCCATGATGGGTGTCTATTCCAGAGTCTGCACACATGAAGCATGAAGAAGTGTTTCCTTATATCCAGTCTGAAACCTTCTTCTAGGAGTTTGACCATTGCTCCTGGTTTTCCCTTGGGGCACTTTGGTGAATAATTGTTTACTTAGCCCCTGATTGCTCACCCCTGATATATTTGTAAGCTGCCACCAAATCCCCCCGAAGTCTTCTCTTTCCTAGGCTGAACAGTCCCATATCTGTTAGCCTTTCCTCATATAGCTTGCTCTTCAGGCCTCTAATCATACAAGTGGCTCTTCTCTGGACTCTCTGAAGCTTCTCCACATCCTTCTTGAAGTGCAGTTCCCAGAACTGGACACAGTAAACTGGTCTGCAGGCAACATTCGTAATCTTTTGTATGTATTACAGTGTTTTTTTTTCCACTGGACAAACCATACATTTATTTTTTCTGTAAACAGAAGAGATACTATAGAGGTATGCATGGAAAATCCAAAGGCCAGAATCCAGGAGCAAACCAAAGGCAAGGTCAGGAACCAGGGAAGTCAGAGAAGTTGTTGGGACAAGAGCTGCTCGGAGACTGAAGACCAGTGTGTTGTGCAGCAAAGTTCAGGTGCTGGAGGAGTTGCATAAATGCAACTCTGGAAGCAGTCAGAGGGAAGAAGCTAGGGATCATATGGCCTTGACTGGTAGTAACTTGAGTCAGTGCATTTAACAAGGGCTGCAGGGCAGAAGCCTGCCTAAACCTTACAGAGCTGACCCAGGCTGCAGCACAGAAATTTACAGTAGTGCTGGAGCTCCAGTAATACCAAGGAAAGTACCCTGGTGCCATGGCTAGTAGGGGTACACAGATAAAGATTTTGGGGACCAATAGTCGATATTTAAGGAGGCATATTGGCCAATACCGATCCAATTTCTGATACAGCTGCATCCAGCTGGTAAGTCCAATATGGTGGAAGGGGAGGGGGAAGGGAAGGGAAAGGGCATGGGGGGGGCAGATCAATGCCTTTGCCCCTGCCCCCTCCCTCACCATGGGGGGCATTGATCTCCCCCACACACACACATACACACCCCATGTCCCTTCCTTTCCCCATCCCCTTCCACTACATTGGACTTACCAGCTGGAGGCAGCTCTCCATGCTGCCAGCTGTGCTCCTCGCTGCCTGAGTGCTGCACCGCATGTGTGCGCACTATGGGTATTTGGCAGCCAAATTATTGGCCCCATCAGGCTGATATCTGATACAGCCAGTTTTCTTTATATTGGTACCGATCTGATATCAGACTGAAGTATTGGTGCACCTCTAATGGCTAGTTCTTGTGGCAACAGTCAGGCACCTATGGTGCCAGGCCTCTTCTTGTTGGGATCTAAACTGGAAGGAGGGGAAAGGGGGTCTGAGGGCCCTATTCAGCCCATGGGTTCCAGCTCCACACCATTCATCCAGCCAATGTACTTGACCCTGCACCACTCATCTGGCCCACAGGACCAGATGAGTTTGACACCCATGGTCTAAGTGCAGAGTATAACGTCATCCTTCCACAGCTTTTGGTTACAACTCTTAACTCTTTTTCATTTGCATAATGTGCTCATTAAATCATGTGCTCATTCATTCAATATTAGTGTTGGGGCTCAGACTGTCAGCACCACAGAACTGAACATTTCTCAGACACCTGTGCCAGAACAACTAAAACTCCTGCCCAGAAACCAACTGAAAGAAGTTCAGCCTTTGGATGGTACCTAATATTGATATTATTATATTTTCAGTAGCAGAAATGTCAGAGCAGTCTAAAAAGTAAAAGACCCTTATATACTGCATTTAAAAATACATTCAACTCTTAGCAGTCTGTTTACATTGGAGAACATGAGACAAACAATAGAGAATTCTGAGAAGGGAGCAGAAAGGATGCCAGTACTGAAAGAGCAGAGCAAATAGCTTACAAAGGAGCCGGACATAAAGCTAGAGAAGATGGGTGGAATGAATTCATGTTTAATTTTTTTGATAAACAAAGTTTTTAGTTAGATTTTGTAATAGATATGACATCAACTGATGCATACAACCCAGCTGCTTCGAAAGTGTAGTCTAACTATAGCATTCTGTACCCAGGATATTTAGGAAAAAGAAGATGAGCATGAAGGGAAGTGATTAAGGTACAAATAAGTAGTTCCGCAGGGACTCCTCAAAATAGCAATGGACTCTTTCAGTTTCCGGAGATGGTGAGAGAAAAGAGAGATGTAGAAAGCAAATATTTGAGGTATTAGATAGCTCTGGAATTTTTTCTTTAGAGCAATGGTCAATTCTTGTAAATGAAAATGGACTAAAAAACATCATCATCATGAGAAGTCCCTCGCAGATGAGGATGTTTGTCTTCCATGACTGCTTTATCTGTGAGTCCAAAGATGGCTGACAAAGCTTATCCAGGATCAGACTCTGCTGCAGCTTGGGCACATGTTTCCACG